TACTGCTCCACCTTGCAGTTTCTCTCATCAGTGGGAAATATTTAACTCCACATCAGGAGTGTGTGACCGACCAGTCAGTGTGGACTTTGTGTGATTTAAAATGCTAATGATGGTGAAGCCACCTTCCTTTCAAAACAATTGTATCCCACTTTGCTTCCTGATTTGGTCAACATCCAGAGTTATAATTGAAAGTTACAACGGGATATTATACTATTCTCATCCTGGTTGGCTTCACAATGTGTCGCACAGCCTCTCCGAACTGAACAGGAACAGAGCAAGTGCCAAGGTGTGTGTTTATCACAGAGCTGCTGATGCAAAGATGCTGATCACAAGCAGACCGTCTAACCATCTTTAACACTCACTTTTGACAGCATTGTGCCTCATGTGGAGGAAAAGTTTGGTTTCATTTAACCAAATGTAAAAGTTACTCTGCAGTTCATTATTAATGGAAATCAAATTTTGACTGACATTGCACCCATTAAAATAAATGACTGAATGAATGAATAAATAAATATTTATCTTTATTTATTTAAATTTTTTTCATATATATAGTTTTGGTTCACAAATGCTAAAAATTCATGATGATATCAACATCAGCTGATACAAGATTTTAAAAAAAAAAAAATTACAAAGGTCCTAAAGTCAGAGTTGACAGACTTGTAGTTTTGCTTAAAAATGTGATGTAAAAAGACATGATCCATGCACTCAATGTGAATAAAAGCATGTTTATGTGGCCCAGTGTACATGTGCATTTAATAAATATTGTATTTTATGTCTGCATGTCAGTGGGACTTCACAATAAAAGTAGACAGAATTATATGTTAATTCCACTACAGGAGAGGCTTGATCTTCTCTGCAATTAGGTGGGAAGAAAAGATGTGCATATATTGGCAAAAGAAAATAAACGAGTTGAAAAATATTATTTCAGGCATTGGAATAAAAGTGCACCCAATAGATTTAGATAAAATCCAACAGAGAAGCACATGTAGTTTCAGTTTTTGCTTAAAAGAATCTTTGTGTTGTAAATATTGTCAATGTGAAGCCAATCTTTGTGTTTCTTGCATATCTGCTCACCTGCTTTTAATGTCAGATCTTTTAAAGAAGCCTTTTACACACCATAAGGCCCAAACAAAGCAAACTAATCATCATATTATTGATGTTCGTACACTCTGAGCATGCAGCACTGCTAAACTCAGCTGCAGGCTTCTGCAAAGTTCAACTACACAGACAGAATTTTTATTTTTAAATGTTCTTGACTTTTTATTCAGGCCAAACTGACTGGGCGCAACTTACATTTTCAACTCCACCTGAGCTCTGTGAATTTAGAGCGCATAGGAGGACATCAGAGCACTTAGGGGAAAGTTGTGCAGACGCAGGAAGGACCCAGCTGCTGTCTGTTTATAAGGCCACAGTGCATTGACTGAACCACTGCAACCTGTTACACCAGCTGAGAGCAGGGAGAGAGCCAAGCTGCTGGAGTCGGCCTTTCTCCCTCCTTCTCTTCCTCAAACCAAAGAGGCAGCACATTTCTACACTGAAAAGAACTGAGAGCATGTGAAACTGCAAGTTGTTGATCTTATGCTTGGATAAAATGTGATAAGTGATCTCTAAAGTCAGAGTAGCTGTATCTTCCACGAGTGTCTTCCTCTCAGCCAGAACACTCAAAGCTTGTTTTCTTAAAATGCCAGACAACTGCTTTGAATAGTTTACCACACTTTAGATCAGGCCTCAGCACAATCAGCATCCACTGTGACATGATGCATTAGATGACAGCAGCTGTTTTCAATTCTCAGGTCATGTTGCCTGTTTAAATGTTTTGTTTTTTTGTGGATGCAGTGAGATGGAAATCCACGAATGCTTGTTTGCACGGTAACGTCTTCATGTCTTTGTCATTCGCTGCTTTCAGGCTCTTGAGCATTTGCTTCGCTGCAGAAAGCGACGTCAAGCTTTCCGTTTCCGAGTTGATACAGTGACAACTGTTGTCTGCTCGGTGTGTGCAGTAGTTTACATTCCAACACAAACATGCCGGGATGTTTTAGTGCTAAATTAAGTCGAGATCACCTCCTCATGTCTTCCTGCTCAGTGACTCTGCAGCAGATTATCTAAGTACGCAGCCTGACTGGCAGGACTTTGTGATGAATCCGTCTCTGTGTTGGTGTGGTCAGCTGCTGTGGAATCAGAAATACAGCAGCAGTGGCCACATTTATGTTAATCCACCTGAGGATCATTTAAACTTGAATTTTGCTACATTTTAAAGCCCTGTTGCTGATGAATACCCAAACTCTCCAGAATAAGTCAGGAACAAGTTCTGAATGTGAGAATTCTGTGTCTATGTTCAGGATGAATCTTAGATAGTTTTGTGTGTAATAAAGGCAACTTTATACATGTCTTGTCAAATAGATGACGAATCAGCCCCATGTTTCCTCGTCCAAGTAGGGCATCTGTGGAATAAAGCTTGGTGGTGGTCCAATAAATCTAAGCACTGTACTTCTGTTTTGACTGGGTCACTCATGGAATTTTGTTAATGAGCAGTTTTTCAGAGTGACAGGATTGAGTGTGAGATCAAGTCAAAGACGTTGTCACTTTCCTCTCACTCTAAATGTGCATTCTGCAGGTGACCATTCACTAAGTCCAACCTGAACAGAGATTGTACTCAAGTTTTCAACCAACTCACTGA